CAAAGCTGGAACAAGTCTGACAGAGGTAGGATGAAACTGCCATGTCCTTACATGTCTCCAAATCAAAATAAGGAAGATTGAATATGCAAGTCTTCAGGAAGTAAAAACCATCACACTTTTTTTACCCTTTTGTTTGAACAGGAAGCATGCCATTTAAAACGCAGCCCACTCATTTCTGTGGCTCTTCTGCAAAGTATGCATATTCTGTGACATATACAGCTCCAAAGTATACTACACAACTTCCTGCCTAATACAGATCAAGACAACATTACACTTTAGATGTCTGAAGAAAACCTCCTCCATTAGAAAATTTGAGCAGGGTCGGTGTTGTTATCGTTTACTAAAATGAAAACTATTAAAACATTTGTTCAATAAAATAAAGCTGAAATAAAATACAAATATTTTAAAAGAAAACTTTGAAATGTTGCCCTGAAATAAGGTTAAGTTACGGTGGCCGAGAGAGCTCAACGCGCTGCAACTGAAGAAAACACATGCAAATACAAAAAAACACATGCAAATAAAATAAAACGCATGCAAATAGAAAAAACGCGTGCAAATAAAAAAAAAAAAAACCGCAAATTAAGAAAACATCTTCATCAGTTTCACAACACATGTGTGCTCCAAATACTCACAACACAACCAAATACAAACGCGCTGCAAAAGCTCACAACACAAATACAGAAAACGCGCTGCAAATAACACAGAGCACAACGGAAATGTTTCCAGAGGAACCAAATAAGTGACGAACCCGGCTGGGACGTGCTGGCATAGATATCCATAAATCTATGCGTCCATACATATAGTTTTATGTCTATATGTATGGACCCTCTTGAAAATGAGATGTTGCATCTCAAGGGGCTATCCATTAATAAAATTGAAATTGAAATTAATTTCCTCATTATTTTCACCTGGGATGTTCCCATGACAACGCAGCACGGTGTCCATCAGCTGAAGAGCTGTTCTTACCACAGAAATATAATGCTGTTAACATAACGGATGCAAATACATTTTTATTTTTATTTTTTACAAAAAAGCTTTTAAAATATGCGTTATATATCTGTGTCTCAACTTAAAAATTTTGGACCCTACGTTACCTAACATTTCTTACGAAACTTTTCTTTATGAAAATGTAATAACATGAAACAATTTGTACAGTGTAACTGATGTATAGATAAATATCTTTCCTTCATGATTTTCTTTTTTATTTATTTATTTTATTTTCCAGCTCATTGTTCTTTTCTCATTTGTATTCTGATGACATTGAACACATTGTTAATACATTTTGTACATTGTATACAAGTTGTATGTCATAAAAAAAATTTAATCTCTGTATGTTTTGCACAAATAAATAAATAAAGTATAATTTTAATCTGTAAGCACCAGCACGCATAGATTTATATCTATGCCAGCACGCACGTCCCAGCTGGGTTCGTCACTTATTTGGTTCCTCTGGAAACATTTCCGTTGTGCTCTGTGTTATTTGCAGCGCGTTTTCTGTATTTGTGTTGTGAGCTTTTGCAGCGCGTTTGTATTTGGTTGTGTTGTGAGTATTTGGAGCACACGTGTGTTGTGAAACTGATGAAGATGTTTTCTTAATTTGCGGTTGTTGTTTTTTTATTTGCACGCGTTTTTTCTATTTGCATGCGTTTTATTTTATTTGCATGTGTTTTTTTGTATTTGCATGTGTTTTCTTCAGTTGCAGCGCGTTGAGCTCTCTCGGCCACCGTATTAAGTACTAAAATCACTAACTGAAAAAAAAAAAAAAAAAAAAAACATTCAGAAAAAAAGAAGAAAAAAAAAGGCAAACGTACATAACAAAACGAGTAACATTTTGACTAAAATTAAAATTAAAATATATAAATAAAAGCTCATTTGAAATAATTATAAAACTATGATAGTGTATAAATATATAAAATATCACTGAGCAGGGGGAACCAGTCTAAATCTATAAGACACTTACACAATTGTGCAAAACAACAAGGCTAATATCTAGTCAGCATTAAAACAAAGGTGAGTGTGAATCATACACCTGGCCAATTTAACTCACAGTGGCCTTGAAAGACTCATCTGTTGAGAGCATTACTGACCGTCTGTGTCTATGGAGAAACTCTCTCTGAATTCACTGTCACAGAAGGACACAAACAACTTTTGCAGTCAATCTGTTAGGAATGATTCATTCATCTTCACGTCAGTGAATTAACACTATTGTGGATCTACCGGAGGTGTTTTAGGTGTACTGAGAGCATCCATGTGCACAGAAGAGCTCATATATCTCAGCCTTTATTCAAATAATTTGGTGGCTAAAGAGAGTCAACGCCACAGTCTGTACATCTGCAGACATCTACGAGAAGATTGGACAGCAGAGTCTGTCCTTGAACAGAATACGCTTTGTAATCAATCCACAGTTCAGTACAATACAGATGTAACCTCAGGAGACGAAGCTGTCTGTTATGGATAGGCTATAGCATAGATAAATGAAGAGTCATGTCTTCAGAGCAGTCAGCCAGCTATTCCACTTACTGAATAACAACGTATGCTGAAATAAATAGCAATCTTGCAATGCATATGGCTTAGGGAGAGAAGCCAGAAGAACTGAGATATTGTGAAATTCATTTCACACAACAACAACAACTCTGAATGACCATTCAAATAGAAATACAAAAAGTGACAAAGCTTCCCAAACTGATTGCACCTTCAATGCAATAATTCCTGGTCTTTGTGCCCTTTTTGTTATTCATTAAGTCATATGGTTTTCACAGACACGTTTTTAAGTCTCCTACACAACAGACATGAATATTCATCTAATAAGTTTTGTGTCATGTAGATTTTGAAGAGTTTTATTAATCCGTCTGTTCACAACAAATTATCATTCAGATTCGTTCAGCGGTGCTTTTTTTGCAGGTTATCATTATTATGCAAGGATGTAGTGGTGGCAAATGTTTTTTTTTTTTAGTCATTGAATCGCTTACTAAACCGATTCGTTTATAAACACCGAGTCTTTTACAACTTAAAGAGGTCGTATCTTTTATTTTTAAAAATTGCGTTTACAAAACTACGAAGAGATTTCAGAAAGAGTGTTACTGTTTAAGCATCATATACGTTTTCCCTTCCAATGAAAACAAAGCAGATCTATAATTTCCTCCATATTTTATCAAATAGAAAAATAATAACAATAACCTAAACAAACACATTTTACTTCTATAGCCTGTTAAATTATCACAATTTTTGTTGTTAACACGACAATGACTCATATGAAATCTGAATGAACGTTCAAGTCAGTCAGCAGAAGATTCGTTCGCTTAAAAGATTTGTTCAAAACACAGATTCAAAGCAACACTATTCGTCGGTGTCTCCGAATGTAAACGCTTGGCGCATCGCTTATTTGACCTCCAGTAGCCTACACTTACCACATATGTAGATCCGTTTTCATCAGATCGGACCTCCGTCTCGGGGATGGAGAAATGCATTTTCTACTGTAAGATTACACGTCTCTGACGAAGCTGAAAATGCTGTTGTGAGCGAGAAGGTTCACGGAAAGCTCTCGGTGTTGGTTTGCTGTCATGTAGGGACCAAACTGAATGACGGCGAGCTAACGTTACACTCGCTCTGATCAGTCCAGTCCAATCCTGGGTCGAATTATGCCAGAAAAGTTATTTTTCGCGAAGTGGATTATTTAACAAAAAACTTTCTTAATGTTCAGGGCTGAACTTTTTCAATAAACATCTAAGCAGCAGCCATGTTGCAACTGGAGGTAATTCCACGTTCATTGTCGGCAATTTCTCGCCAAATCTGTCCTCTCACTTCCTCGCGCACTGTAAAAGAATGTGGAAAGCGAGTCTGCAAAACACCGAAGTGTCGACGCGAGGCCCACGATCCAATTAACTTTCCAGATTACTCCACGTAAAGGTGCTCCGCGGTTGTCTACAGCCTACATTGGTAGGCTACATACGAACGAGTATGGAGAGGGAAACAAATGAAGAAATTGTTTGTCGCCGGATGCATTTCGAGATGCCGACACAGTGCTCGTACTTGTTAGGGCGTTAGGAAAAACACAACACATAAGTCTACATTGTAGCGAAACGTTCTTCCAGGCAGCACTCTGTCTGTCTGCTATAATGTATTCAATATGTATATCTGCGCGCTCCCGAAGCATTGCAACAGTCTGGATCAAACCATTCTTCTTTAGCCGGGGGTGTTATTGCGTAAAAACGTTCATTCGAGGTCCTTTGGCATGAACATGTTGCAAGCGTAGTTTGTAGAAAACAATTTCTCCATAACGATGCAAACTTATATTTAATTCTGGTTGAAATTGTTTACACTCAATATTAAGTTCAACATTTAACTCCACAGGGCAGCATAGTAGTTTAGAACCATATTGTTTTGTAATTAATAGTGTAGCCTATAATTCCCATAGCCTAAATTAAAGAACATGTGTATTTGATCATTTTTTCTAACAGTAACATTGATAACAGTGTTGAATGGTTAAGCTTGACCAAGGCACTCAACACTATACCATTTTGTCTAAAATTGAGACAAGCGAATGAGGTTATTTGTCTTCCTGCCATCCTAAAATCTACATCCGGTCCATAATGTTATCATCACAATTTTATAGAATCTTACCTCTGAGTTGGTACAGTCCAAAATCCCAATTTAAAGGCGATACAGATATTTATTGTAGCCTAAAAATACTTACATTTTATACTAGGTTATTTCTATGTTATATAATAGTTAATTTTAAAAATGTATGCCTGTAGCCTACTGTTTATAAAGTCATCCGTAGTAGCCTATTCGTGGGGTGTGCCTTTCAATATCCAGACTGAATAAATGTAGATTGGCTGAACTAATATTGGAGGTATGGCGAGGAGGATCTACATCAGTCCAACAAAGTGAATTATGTAAAAACTGCAGTGTTTTGTAAGCGTTTCGTCTCTATCAAAATTTTACAATGAGAAATGCAAAATACTTGCGCCGCCTTGATGTCATGAATAGGTCGCGGCCCTTGAACGTCACATGATCATGGTGTCACATGACTTTGTTTTTGGCGAAAATGACAGCTAGCATTACAACATATGCGGTATCTACAGTGTATTTATGTACTGTTTTATTTGTTTTATTCAATGCATATGTCGACAGTCAGTATATTGATGTACAGGTGAGACGACAGTTGTAGAGCGAAATGATTATAATGAAACATGCTATGCTACATTGTTGTCATCATGTTGTAAAGTAAAACTCATTGTAAACACATTTTATGCACGCATGTTGTTCTATAATGTTTTGAAAGCTTTCACCTTTATTTTCGATAGTTATGTCAAATGTGCGAAGGGACTGTACGACAAGACAGTCCTGTCTGGGATTTCTGCCTTAAAAAGGGCCAGATTAAAGGACGCTGCTGTTTTGAAAACAATACCAGCAATATAGACACCATTATAGGGTAGGAAAACTCTCTAGTATTCCACTTTTTTTTTTTTAAATTGTGAATATGTGTGTGTGTGTGTGTGTATCCTATTTGTAAATCTAACTGTATACGATTATCTTTATCCTGTTTTAGGTTGGACCTGTCAAACTGCTCTATCAGTCATGTAGAGCACCTGTATAATTCATTCACAGCAGTCATAATGTAAGTACCAGATCAGGTTTAATTAATAATCTGTGCATGTGTCTTGTTCAGCATTGAATGCAATATCTAAACGATACTGAACTGTATTTACACAGAGATCTCTCCAACAACCCGATCACCAATCTGAGCGATTTCGTATTTCAGGGTTTCAGCCATCTTACCCAATTGTAAGTTATGCATGAGCAGAGTATATCAAGTTCATAACATTAAAAAACTGAGGTCTGGGGACCCCCAGGGGGCCAAAATTGCTTGGGGTCAGTGGACAAATCTAGAAAAAAAGTGTAACAAATATATAATAAAAATAAAGTAATTAAATAATAAAAGTAAGATTTAAATAAAAAAAATAGATTGATTAAAATAAATGATAATTCTTAAAATAAATACATACAATATTTAAATAAACACATCTAACAGTAGTGCTATAGTAGTCGGTGGAAAAAAATTATTGTAAGTAATAAAATCGAAATATTTTCCAAATAATATTGTTATAAAACATGTACATTTTAGGATGGGGTCCCTCATACAAGGACGATGATATTTGGGGGTCCGTGGCATCTACAAGATCGAAAATCCCTTATTTAAGCTAACAAGGTGACTTGACAAATCTTTACTTAGATTACTACCCTCAAAACTGGAGTGTCCGGGGGGCAATGCATCATGGGAGACGGTTGAAGTGAAAAACAATGCCAGAATCTGCGAAGGACAGAAAAATGTTTGCAATCAGACGGCACTGATGCGTAAGTTATCAGTAAACTGGGATCTCAATCTTTAAAATATCTTTAAATGCATTTATTGAATGTTGTTTGTCTCTTCAGCCTGGAATTGCCCTGAAAACTCATTCTGCAGCCCATATGGTCCAGGGTTCTTTGAGTGTGGTTGTCTCCATAATTTCCATGGATACAAGTGCATGAGACAGGTGAGACCCCTGACAAATCATCCTTAACAGGTTGGCCATCACTTCTTTATTGCACATGTTCATTATTTGTTCTCAATTGCAGGGAGAGTTCCCCATAGGTAAGGTGCTTGGGATACTCACCGGATCAACAGTTGTAGTTTCATCGTTACTCTGGTTTACACAAAGACGAAAGGTCGAGACCACTTGAATTTTAAAGAGAAGTAACAAAGGTGCACAAGCCACAAAATGCATCAAGCTTATTAAAAATGATGCAAGAGAAGAGATGAGAACAGTTTCATACTCTGGAAGCTTAACCATCGGATGAACATTTTACTTTGTTTTTTAAACTTGTCAAAAGCAGGTTTGCATGGCATTCTTTCCTTTTTTTAATAACTTAATGCACAATTTTTTTGTTTTAAACTTTCACTTTCTTTTGACCCTCAAGGTCCTGAAACCTTTTTATTTGTACATTTTATCAAATCTTTCAGTGAATACTGACATTTTCACAGCCTTGAAGAGACTGGTCTGTAAAGAGAAAACTGACCGCGGATTGTCTTTGGAGGGCAGCCACATTTCTGACAGAAGTGAAGCACTGACATATTTTAAGGACAAATATTTTGTGTTGCTTTAAAACAAAATTATCTTGATTTCAAAGATATTTAAAGTGCTTTCATTTGACAAGGGAGGGGGAAATGGATGTCACTGGACTGTTATAATTTGTGAAATAAATGTATATTACTGCCACATACTGCTTTTTACAGATGTCACATGTTAGATACTAACCGATAACCATTTAACCTCTGAATCCGTATGCTTTTCCTTTTTGGCAGAGTAAAGGGAATCGGTTTCATCTGCTAATGTGAGATTTATATAGGTACACACTATTAGTGTAATACTGACAGTACATGTTACATTATGCAAATCTCATTTCTTTCAATGTAGTATTTTGTTGAGGAATTCAGCATGTACCTCGGTAAACCAGTACCAAAAATTAAAGACTTCGGCAAACAACAGTTTATCTAAATTATTTATTTTTCAGTAGCCTTTTCAAGGTTTCAGTAATACAAACAAAACCCCTTATCTTCGGCTTTTGCATGGTCTTACATTTGCACCATGTTCCTTTTCCCTTACTCACATCTATGAAAGGAATTCAGCAACTATCCAAAAGGGATGATATATATATATTTATTTTAATGTTTATGTCTATGCACTGACCATCATGAAAAGCCAAAACTGAAAGCAAACATGCTTTACTGACACTTTCTTTAAATTTTTTGGTTTTGACAAGAACAAGCGAATCTGATATTCTTGATCTTGTGTACAACAACTAGAAGTGATTTGAGAATTTTCCTTTAGGTGGATTGAAATGGACTGCGTCATTTTGGACCAGTTATACAATTCAAAATGAAACATTTGAAAGGATCCCGACAGTGAGAACATAAACAATAGCTTGATTTGAAAAGCTTGTTCCATTTCATAGATGTGTTTACTTCATGCTAGAAGCCCTGTGTGCACACACTCTTTTATGTGCAGATGCAAGAGGGAAGCCAAACCGTGTTCATCTGCTCTTCACTGATCCACGTTCTTGACTCGCAGTACCACAGGCACGGAGGTGCAGGGGATCATGCCCAAGTCAGTAATCACAAGGTCCACAAAATCTGGTGGCGTCACGTCATACACCAAGTTCAGAAGCCCCAGTGATTTAACAGTCTGCCAATTCTCTAGATGGGTCTTCCCATTTCTGGTCACAATCAGGTCATCGGGGTCATCTGTAAAAATCCATTAGGATTTACTTTTTTTTTTAGTAAATAATGTTAAAGGGATAGTTCACTTTGAAATTAATTTTTGATATGTTTTAGCTTACCTCAAGGGCATCCAAGATGTAAGTGTCTTTGTGTCCACAGTATTTTCAATTTTGATATTTTTAGGTCAAGCCGTTCTTGTCTGTCAGTCATATAATGCAGGTCTATGGGGTCCACCTCAAAGAGCATGCACAGAGAAGTCCAAATTAAACATGATTTAATGACTCGTAAATGTAAGTACACATTGATGGCCTAAGACACGAAACGAGCGGTTTGTGTGAGAAAACGAACAGTATTTATATTGTTTTTACCTCTTGTAAACACAGCCAGGTCCAAGTGATCTGACGGCGCCGGCGGTTCGGTCTTTTCCGGAAAGCACCGGAAGTGAAACATCGCGCGTGTACGTCACTCATTGTTTACACAGAGCAGAGATTGTAGGTAAGACGGCTAATTAAAATGGTACTAATTTGTGCTTATTCGGGATGTTTAAACCGTCGTAAAAGAAAACAATTCCAAAAAAATAAAACAATTGTATGAGTGACGTACACGCGCGAGAGATCACTTCCGGCGCTTTCCGGAAAAGACCGAACCGCCGGCGCCGTCAGATCACTTGGACGTGGCTGTGGTTACAAGAGGTAAAAACGATATAATACTTTTCGTTTTCTCACACAAACCGCTCGTTTTGTGTCTTAGGCCATCAATGTGTACTTACATTTACGAGTCATTAAATCATGTTTAATTTGGACTTCTCTGTGCATGCTCTTTGAGGAAGTTACCATAGACCTGCATTATATGACTGACAGACAAGAACGGTTTGACCTAAAAATATCAAAATTGAAAATACTGTGGAAACAAAGACACTTACATCTTGGATGCCCTTGAGGTAAGCTAAAACATACCAAAAATTAATTTCAAAGTGAACTATCCCTTTAATAGCAAAAATGATTATAGTAAATTTACCCATCATGCTACACATGCTAGTGTTACCTAATTCATTGGATACAAAAGAGTCCGTCTGCACTCGTTCACAGAACTTGTAGGTCTCACAGCAGACCAGCACTGGTACGTTGTAGGCCTTTGCTACCAGAGCAATCTGGGAAGTTCCTACGCGTGACATCACATATCCATTGGCAAGAAGTGCATGGGCACCAAGAAATACCTTGGATACCTGGAAATAAGAGAGTGCAGAGTCCAAGTACTGATTCAGCATTCATGGAAACAATGTTTATAATGACAACATAAAGGCCAGTTAACTGTAGTTCAAGTACACAATTCAAAAGTTAGTGGTCTGTACTCTGTAAGACAATAAGATTTCTTGTGAACTTCCTATTCATCAATTAAAAAAATAAAAAGTGTCACAGTTTCCACAAAAATATTTCAACCATTTTCAATATTAGCTATGTTTCCATTTAAAGTTAAAATTGGAATATGGCATGAAGCATTTGCGAATTAAACAGCATTTCAAGAGAACAAAATAGTCACTTCCTGGAAAATATCTGTAATAAAAATTGAAGTTGCTGAAATCGGAGAAGCCACCTTTGCTCTTTTTTCCTACATCATAGATGACTTGCGTCCCTGAGCGCACAGACAGACAGTGGTCTGCTGGTTAGTCCAGTTATATCATGTGCAGGTTTTCTTATCAGATAAAAAAATAAAACAATGTATCCACTTCAATTGAGAGCACACGTTTTTATGTGCATTTTAAAAATGTATGAGCATCTTGGCGTTTCCATCCAGCGTTTTTGGTACCATCAACGATGATACTTAAGGGATAGTTCGGCCAAAAATGATATTTAACACATGCATTACTCACCCTCAAGCCGTTCGAGATGCATATGTCAATCTTGTTTCAGACGAACACATTTTCAGTTATTTTAGAAAATGTCTTAGACCCTTCAGTGGATATAATGTGAAGCAATGGGGTCCACCTCCTTCAAGTCCCAAAATGTGCATACATCCTTCACAAAAGTAATCCATCCGGCTCCAGGGGGATAAACGAAGGCCTTCTGAGGGTAATCCGTGCGGTTTTGTCGTAAAAATATACATATTTAAAACTTTATAAATGAAAATATCTGACTTCCGGCAACGATCGACGCGCGTTCACGGGTGATGGAAGTCGGCGTACGAGGTAGGACGTGGCGTAGGAACCGTCGTGACGTAGACGTTGTTTCGCTCTGCTCTCTGGCTGTGCAGGCGCGTTCGTTCTACGTCACGACGGTTCCTACGCCACGTCCTACCTCGTACGCCGACTTCCATCACCCGTGAACGCGCGTCGATCGTTGCCGGAAGTCAGATATTTTCATTTATAAAGTTTTAAATATGTATATTTTTACGACAAAACCGCACGGATTACCCTCAGAAGGCCTTCGTTTATCCCCCTGGAGCCGGATTGATTACTTTTGTGAAGGATGTATGCACATTTTGGGACTTGAAGGAGGTGGACCCCATTGCTTCACATTATATCCACTGAAGGGTCTAAGACATTTTCTAAAATAACTGAAAATGTGTTCGTCTGAAACAAGATTGACATATGCATCTCGAACGGCTTGAGGGTGAGTAATGCATGGGTTAAATATCATTTTTGGCCGAACTATCCCATTAACAAGACGGGCAATTTCATATAATTTAGAGTGAATGTGTCAAGCTCAGGAATGAGTATTTGCGCGCTGTGTGAGGCGGCTTTCCGGGTGCGTGCTTTGGATGTGTGTTGCTGGGCACACAAGACTTATCACACAGTGCGCAAATACCAAACTGAGAGACACGGGTTATTTAGCATTTACGTGCGCTTGAATATTTAAATTGACAAGGCTTAAAAATGCGCAAATTATCAACTTCTGTGAAGATGCTGCACTGGCCCCATCGGGCAAGTGACAGTTCCCTCAACTGTCCCTAGTGTTTTTCACGCGCCCTGAATATTTAGTTTAACACAATATATAACGTAATCTAAACATTCAGAACCTCACAGTGCCATTTAACTATTTGAAATAAAACCATAATAGCAATCTAAGAGTGTCATTATCAAAAGTATACCTATGTAAATAAAGTCCATATGCTGTTCGAAACTCTATAAACTGAGTAGTTATCTTTGTCAACCCGTTGCTCTACTAGCACCACTGCAGTTGATCCTGTGTGTCTTTAAGAACAAAAGTATCAATCATAATTAAGTTATATTTTTAGCTACTGCTGAGGTCACACACACAATGAATCCTTTGAAGGTACAAGCACTTTGGAAATAAAGCACATTACCTCGCAATGAGCTAAAAATAAAATGTGCTTGCAAAAATCCCAGCAAGTAACAAGCTTAACTGAAAAGAATGACTCACTTCAGGCAGAATGTAGGACAAGGCAGATATGAGCACATAAGTACATCGGATGCCTTTCTTCACCAGACGTCTCAGCGCCTCTCGGCCCTCCAGCCTGGGCCGACTATCAACGACTATGACTCTGAACTTCCTCTGCTTGTCAAAAGCATCGCACAGAATGTGATTGACAAGAGAAGAGCTGGACAAATACAAAAAAGGCCTTTTAATGCATTAATCCAAACTATTACAGGATTATAGCAATTCAGTGAAAAATCTTACC